TATTAAAATGTACAAAGACGTTTAAAAAACAGTGCAGCCAATTCACAAAAACATACATCAAAGAGCAGACTCTGCAGAACTGGACTAAATGGTAATAATCTGTATTCTGTACCAGTGTAGTTTATTCCATATCACTTAAATAAAAGATGTTATCCTTGTATGGGTTGGCTTCTATGAGTAATGCTTTCAGGATAACTACAAACCAGACCTGCTCACAGACTAAGAACATGATAAGGTAAGAGATGCCATCAATATTATCATCTTCAACATGAACATTCTCGCTATAAAGCACTACATGATATATGCTCAGGAATGACCCTGAAATTCAGCTGAACACAGCAAGAAATAAGAAAGTGTAAAACAAGGTGTAATGACAAAAATAAATTTTAAAAAAGTAATAAATGGTTTGAGATAATATACAGGGAGTTATAAATCTATACCTTGAAATTTCTATTTGATTCTCTTTTTCTAAATAACGTGCTATGTTAAAGTGGAGTAAGAGTTTAATCACTGGGGACAAAATCATGAAATTCTCGTTGTTTTCTCTGTTTGTGGATGTGTCAGTTAATCATTAATCAATAAGTGGTTTTACTTTGCTAGAATTAAGTTTCACAATTATCAGTTAGTTAACAGAACCCGCAAATACTAATTGCCTCTGAAAGTCTGAATTTAAACACTGAGGCTGCAAAATGTTGTTTTCACTTTTTCATCAGGCAGACCCTGGGTTCAATTTTTCATCCAACAGGAATGAATGTATAATTGTGCCTGTTTTCAGAGAAAACAGATGAGGCCTGTGTTTATGTCCATTGGAATATATGGAAGGGAACTCTCACAGCCAACCAGTTTGGTGACTGAACAGAACTTTGTTAATTCAACGTTAATGAATATCATGGAGAGCAGGTCTTAAGAGATCCTGAGCATTTTATTTTTAGCTCTTGAGCTCCAGTTGGGAAATTGCTCTTGAAGTTCCTTCTCTCCAGATCAAAACCATTCTAATTTACAGTTTGTATTTATTAATAGATAGATTATAGCAATTCATTTTAGACCAATTTTTTTTTTTTAGTCTGAATCAGCTTTTTCTTCACTAGTTTACAGGGAATTAACTAGTTTACAGTGACTCTGTTTTTCTAGTTTTCAGCATAATTGCTTTGATGACTGCAGAGTAATTGCAGTCTTAGACTTTTCTCTCAATATGGGATTTGATTTTCCAGATTATTATTCCAGGAGATTATTTGAACGCTAAAGATCTTTATAATTCTTTAGTTCTAAAAGTGCATTTCATAATGGACCTTTTATAAGTAGTCATAAAACAGGTAACAAAATATTTATACATTTTACACAATGATATTTACTCTCAGTTGTCTCCGTAGTTTAAATAAGGAAGAGGAATTATTTAATACTGACAAAATTCTTCACTTGCATTAACTGCAAGTAAATATGAGGATGAGTCTTATAAATACTGTTTTAGTTACATAATACATCAGTCTTATGAAGAACATTCCATTGTCACCATTTATTCCTGGTGTTGTTATATCAATGGTCTGTCTTCATGCAGTCAATTTAATGGACTAGAATACAGTGAATGACTATGAAAATTGGTAATTTGGGTGAAATTTCACTCTTTAAGCTCTTAATGCTGAGTTATTGATGCTTATCTTCAAAATATAACCAGCATACATTTACCCTTTGGAAGAGAAATGTACATTTTAACTTCAAGTACTCTTTTCCTCATTGCATCATTTGTTTGGATTTTTGCTGCTAGAAATACAGTTATAACCTCCCTGAGTTTGGCTTAGACACAGTGTCTGACAGACAGTGGTGTTTTAGTTATGTAGGTTTTTTCTTCCTCCAGAACCTGTCGCTTGTGCAGTTTTGCTGCAGAGTTTTTGAATCCCTGTCATTCTGCCTCCCAGCCTGACTGTACCTTGTGGGCAGACCCAACCCTTCCACAGGCAGCGTTTCAAGTCAGTGCTAGCACTGCTTTTAGCACACCAGGGGACAAGGAGACCAGAAGCAACAGGAGTTACAGAATGATTTGGTGGGCAACAGCATCTTCACGCATTATCATCGCTTTATGGCACAGGCAGACGAAATCCATGCTGTTCTAGATAAACTGGCACACAGGGACGTATTTTAAGAAACAGATTATTAGGAGTCACAAGATAACAGGTTTTGGCTCTATTTGTAGTTTAGTCTGTAGCAAAGACACAAGCTGAAAAACGGGGCTCAGTGTTTCCAAAGTAAATACCTACAGGTCTCGCATTTTGGTACATGATTCCAGATAATGCAGATTCATCATTGCTTTACCACATCCTGATTCCTGGTTTTCTGAAGAGTGCTCTCCTTCCAGTAATAGTTCTTTCTTTTCTTTTTTTTTCCTGTCTTCTTAATGCTCAGCATAAAGGCCAAAAGGCAGTTCATATACATGATATAATAAAGCTTCTGAAATATGTTATTACATGTACTCAGCCACTATCCAAATCCATTATCTTTGACAGCATGTTGTTACAAGAAATTTATAGATAAAATATGAGATAACATGAATTTTTATAAATAAAAGTATTTCATGGGGATTAGAAAACACTTTTTACCATCAATGTATTGTCAAAATGCTTGTAGTCTACATGTCTACATAGAATTTCATTGACATAAGAGACTATATGTACAGCAATATTTTGCATGACTGCTTTCAGTCACCAAGAAGTATGGCCTCATTCACAAGTAACCAGAACAAAAATAAAGCTAAAATGAATTGTATTTGGAGGAAGAATACTAACAATTCTGGTTGGTTTTTTCCACAGGAACATGTATAACAATGGCCATAAGGAGGTATACAGGAGTTTGATGCTGAAGAGCTGAGAAAAATAAATTTGAGGAGGAGGAAAAATGAAAACTTTTAGTGAACTCATTTCAAAATATACAGAATTAACAACTCTGCTTTTAAGTTTTTATGAAATGCAAGAGACAAGCTTACTTTGAACAGTGGGAGCTCCTGTCTCGTAGTAACCTATGCCAGTCTGTATTGAATTTACTCCTGCTAGGCAACAAGTGCCAAGTTCTTTACTCCATCCTGTGGAACCTGCTTTGGTTAACATTGATACTGGCTTTCAAAATCAGAGTCAGCTCTCAAGCTCTGGTGTTGCAGCCCTTACAGGAACAGCTCCACTGACTTTAAATGCCATATGTAGCGTCCACAGCTTGGCACACTGTGAATAGAATGTCATTTTAACTATAGGCTTTAACAATTCTGCAAAGTGATCAAATGCCTGCACTCCTTTCTAAAATACTGTTCTCAGGATTAACACCCTCCTTCTGAGGGCTGACTGCAAGGTTTTCCAGGTTGTGTCTGCAGCCGTGCAGATGCCTTTAGATCTCAGAAGCTGAATTGCACTCAATTAGGAAACTGATGAACAAGGCTGCTCTGTCCACACTGTAAGGAACACAAACATGGGCACAGCTCCACTTAATTCCTTCTTTTCATTTTTATCCTTATAAAGTAAAGACATAAAGGAAATAATGGAGCCAGGACTGGGATGGCCAATTCCAAGTTGAAGTAAATCAGTGCTCCTGTTTTAAAGGTTTGAGCTTCAGCAAGGCTTGGAAATGCTTGAAAAACAGAAACTGGAGTCTGAGCATGAGGCTTTAGTGAAAAAGGATAGGGAATAGAAGAATCTGTAAGTGTTTTTCAGATATTCTGAACTGATTCATGTTGATGCTGCTTCACTGCTTCCGTGGAATGCTACCGAGTCAGAGCAGCACAGCACCTGGTCCTGCTGTTCAGTTCAAACTTGGAAAAAGGAAGACTTGTTTTGCCTGTTACTGAAAAACATGTTTTCTCTGGGCTGGAGCACAGCAATTGTTAACAGCTTACACTATTTAGCCACTGTTGTCAAACAATAAAAAAGAATATTTAATCCAAATTAAGTAAAAAAGGAGTTGTAGACACCAAAGTGGAGTAATTTGCAGTGGAAACTGCAAGGGTACTGCAGCTAAACCTTTTAATCATAAGTCCATGGAACCTTTCTAAACCCGGCTTGAACCCTGTCTCATAATAGAGCTCATCCCTAAAAAGATGGAATTCTTCCTAAACTTAAACATATACTCACCAATTATTCTTTCTTTCTTATTGTATTCTCTGGGGGAAAAAAATAGAATAAGTTTTTGTATGTCATGATTTAAACCACAGATTGTTATAATCAGTATATATTGTAGGCCCTGTTTGACAAATTTAGTTCAGTTGTAGGACTACTTGTTTGAGCAGGTAACTTCTCACTTGTGATGAGCATAAAAAAGGTTATTTTCTGTATACCTGTGACAGAAAAGCTCTCAGAGTGTGTTTGTTTTTCTCTTGTGAAGAACACCTTTGTTTATGACTCAGGGTTAAACTATTCAGGAAGACAGAAAGCACTTTGGAGCATGTGTTTGCAACACACTGGTCCTAACGTGGTGACCTTGGTAAAACCAAAGTTTTAGGGACTAATTACATAGCACAAAAGTGGGAAATAGCATCCTTGAGTATCCAGGGTGGTGTGCTAAGACCCTTGGGTGCTCAAAAAGTGAGACTATGATCGCCATATGGCTCTCCAAGCTATGCCTTGCTGTTTTTCACTTCCAACATACTCAATTCAAAGGCTAAAAGGTCTGTCAGATTATCTTTTTGCCCTTGGGATACACTGAACTCCTGAACACTGACAGTGTCAGAAACAAACAAGATCCTCTTGAGCTTCACTTTCACCCCACAAAAATTCAGATAAGCCCTAACTTTTTAGTCTTAACAGCATTTTAGATTTTAGACCTTTAGAATTTTCTGATTCATAAAAAGTAAAAGAATGGTAATCCATACATCGAGCACATCCATATGTGCTTTCAGCATGAAGGCCTATGTGTGAGCTTCATCTAAAGATATAATTCAAACCCTCTAAACACGTAAGAATTTTTCTCCAGAAGAATTTAAAAGCTACAGCTCTGTGCAACACTTGAAACAAAGAAATAATGCAGTCTGAAACAGCAACATCTGCACCTTTATTCAACTGATTGGACTGATTAAATTCTTCTTTCTAAGACATTTATCAGGTTGCAGTATCAGCCAAAGGAAAAGCTCTCCTGAATATAATGGTGCATTGGGTTACTGGGCCCAAGTTATGTCAATTTTGTAGTCCCTGGAAGGTGGTGATGGGGCTGGCACCATAATTAGCTGGTTTTATTTTTTCCCAGTTAAAAAAAAGGCTCCGTTTGGTGGCCTGAGAGTGCAAGGACTTCAGTGCAAGGCTTGATGTCACATCTCTGGATTCGTAAGTTACTCTTCTTGGTCTGTCTCTGTTACGACATATTAGGTTTATCTTCCTTTTCTGCAAACAAATAGGTGCTACAAAATTTATTGCACATTATGAAAAGGCAAATTTTCAAAATAAACAGAAAGTTTCTATGAATACAAATCAGTAACAGGAAAAGCCAAATACTCCAAGAGTAACTTCAGATCTTATCTTCTCTCTTCTGACATGAAAACAACAGCAGGAATCTCTCCTTCCTCTTCTTAATATAAAACTTCTAAATTCCCCTATTCACCACATGACACTGGAGCCACTTACCAAAACTTTGTGGTTTTGAAAGATGTGTTAAGACTGAAGAAAGATGACACAGCAGCATCTTGAGACAAAAGACCTGTGAAATTCAAATGCAAAATCCTCTAATAAAGGTTACATTCTGTGCCCATGTGCCCACATACTGCTCTTATTGGCATCAGTAAGAGCCATGGATATACATCCAAGGATGGATTTTGGTTCTTGGATTTTTTTTGTAGAAAACCCCTCTTTTTTAGAAAAAAATCCCTGTGCTGTATATAAAGAAATTCTGTACTTACCAACTAAAATTATCAGCAACAAAGTGGCAGGCAATCCTCCTAGAAAATATCTGAAAATATAAAATTATCCAGAAAGTTTAGAAATAGCCACAGGATGCATATTTGGTTAAAAGAGTTGAAGCCTGGATGGGAGGAGGAGAGAAGGTTTTTGCAGATGAACCCTCTAAACTCTGGTAGGTGAACTGCAATTTGAAACTTTTTAAATTGCGTAAACTATTGAGGATAATCTCCAAGAAAAAAAGACCTCAGCTTTCCCAGACTGAAACATCCACTTAAAAAGACATGGATGCATTCAGATTCTTCTCAGCCTGCCAAAACCCCTGTCCAAGCACACTTGGAAAGGTAGTTTTCATATCTGCATACATTTCTTATTTTTGTGTATATCTCTATAGTTCAGATAATTGCCTGCATCGACTATCATGTGAAAATAGATTTGCACAGAAAGATATAGGGAACTTTGAGAATGTGACCCTTAATTTAAATTTTTTTCACCAGTTGAAATGGAATAACTACGAATGTCAGAAACAGCAAATAAAAGAAATAAAAATTACCTTGTACATATTGAAATGAATAAACACATGATCAGTGCAACCATCTGAGAAACGACATTTTGCACTGTCCTGGATTCTAAAATAAAAATCAGAAAAATAATTTTAATGGGTTTTCAGGAAAGTAAATATCTGACAGGAGGTGTTTTGAAAGACTACCTTCAGCGTGTGAGACCAGTCTCTTCAGTTCCTTTTTAAGAGAACTTGCCTAGAGTGATTCAAAGCAGAAACCTAATTTTCATGCTCTGGGTGTCTCTCAGGAGTCTTTTCCCCCCACAACCACAGAGACACTATGCCCTCCATGCTCTCAGAAAACAAGCTTTTCTGCATAATTGCCCGTTTCAGTTTTTGTTCCCATGCCCTTTCCTCCATTTTCCTCTTCACTCCACATTTTTTTTTTTTACAAAAATGGGAGAGGAAAAGCTGTGAGCAGAAGGGAGTAAACAAGTAAACAACAATTTTAATATTTTTTTAATTTTAATAATTCATTTAAAATATATGTTTAAGGTAATAAATTCTATTTTGCAAGGGACCAGATCCATATTTTTAATGTGAGTATTTTCAGTTCACTCAAAAATGAGGCATGTCAGAATAAGAACGTAACGTACCTCCACTGCTCAAGGTTTCTTCATTTGCATTTATCATAAATGGTGAGAAGGGTTTTGAAGCACTAAATGGTTTCTCAGACTGAAGAAACTCATCATCTTTGGTGAGAGATGCTCCATTATATGCTGGAATTTGCCTTTGTGCCACATGTTTATTATATCCATAAGAAAAGTCTGAATCACCTGCAAAAAGTGCACATATAACTGAGATTGCACAAAAGAAGAACTTTGAGACTTTGTGTTAATGAACTGGGGAGGGAGTTAATTACTTAATCACAGGAGGGGCCCCAAATTGTTATGGGTAGGGAATTGGCAGGTCCAATGTACGCAGAAGATATGCAGAGTAAAGACAAAACTGCATAGAGTATAACATGATGAAGTTATTGAAAGACCCAGGTGAAAGCAGAGAGTGCCAGATATTAATCACACCGGAATAAACAGTACTGATGATGACTTTGGATTCAAATTCAGTTTAAAAATGCCTCTTTGGAACAAGGGTCTTTACAAACTCATGTGCTGGTTTAGTGCCAGGAGCTTTATTCCCCACTTTGAATTCTGTTGAGCATCTATCCTTTATTTGCACATCCTGGCAGACAACCCCCACAAAACTTACAAAAAGAGATACTCAAAGTCCCACTAAATACAATCTGTAATATTGTAGTTTAATTACTTGGTACCTGATCAGGGCTTACCAATATTGCTGTAACTGGCTTCTGGTTTACTGCATCCATCAGGCCAAGGATCATCTACATGGGAGAAATCCATATTGCTGGGAATGGTGGAGCTGAGCCATGAGTTGGAGGCACTGAGGTTGAACAAGCTGTCAAGAGAGCGACGGAATTTCTTCCTTCGCCTGAATACACTAGAAGGAAAAGATATGTTGTCAAGGAATAGAGCTAATTATTCTTGCTGAGCTCTAAAACTTGCAAGAATGACATGAAAGAACCAGGTTCTGGGTGCTACTCCTAGCCCTGTTCTTGCCCCTGGGTGTGTCACTAGGAATTACTCCTGCACACCATAGAATGTCAGAGAATGTATTGGCAGGAGGGCACATCATGCTGTTGTGATATTGGAGTCTGTGATGCTGAATGATATCACAGCTATTGGTCTCTGATACTGCTGTATCATGCTACTCATGAGCTTCACCCTGCCATATGAATCCATTGAACTTCAACTTTTTTTGAACTACATTTTATATAACTTTTTTTGAATTACATTTTATATACCTGGCTAAACTGATGTTCTTCTGAAATCAACAGAGGTTTTTCCTTGAGTAAGAATTTCAGGACAAGACCTTTTTTTTTTGTGTATATATATATGTATGTTTATATATATGCATGTGTTTTTTAGATATAGGTATTTAGACATTTATATGTACTTTTTTTTAGTCCTTTTCAGAGCAACACCCCATTGGCAAAATGAGCTGTAGCTCTCCTTTTTTGTTATTGGAAACAACTTCAATTATAGCAGCAAGTGTGTACTGAAGAGTTTTATGGGTAGTAAGACGACTGAAAATCAGGTTATTTCAATCACTGCACTCTCTAAACTAAAGCAATTGGGATGTTCCCATTCAGAAGCAATGCTGATCTTACGCCAAGCAGAACGTAGACAGACACAGATACCTCTGGATAAGGCCAGAGAGGTGGAAGCAGTTGCCAGCACGGAGTAAAATCTGCACATAGTTCACTTACCGAATTAAATTCTCTTTATATGTAACTCTTGTGTGGGATGGTGTCAATGTTACGTTGCCCTCTTCATCAGACAGAAAACTGTCTTCTGTCAAAACGTAATAACCATTAGAAAGCAGCCGAGGGCTGCGGCGGCTTGGGGAAAGGGAGCCTGTCAGAGGGCTTGTGGAACACTCATAGGCAGGATCATCGTCCAGAAAGGCACAGGCACAACTGAAAAGGAGAAATGAAAGCTTCTAATTTAGTGAAGGTCTAGACAGAGCAAACCCACCATTTAATAGCAATGAATTTGCATTCGCAGCTGAGGCAGGCTGGTAATGACATCGATTTAAAATATGTGTATGTAATGATATTTTGTACCAGGAGGTTTCAGCCAGCTGAAGTGTGCCTGCATCACGCTTTCCAGAGCTTCAGATTACAGGAGGGATACATGCCAGAGGAGCATTTCATGCCTGCATGGAGCCAGCTTGAGCTGAGACGTGCATGGTGTGTTTCTGTGGCAGCGCTCTTGGCCAAGGAATCCTGCCACACCTTACACCTATCTGGAGCCATCAGAGGCATCCCAGTATTTTGCTTCTCTGAGTTACTCTACGTGACACGAGATGGGTGCCTCTGAACAAGATAGGATTTATTTGTTCTTTTATAGCCTAGCCATACTTGGAGAAGATTTAAGGATACATGACTTGTAACTCTCACAAATCCTAGAATACCATGCAGCTAGAATAACATGACATAAAGTCTACACATGGTGATAACTTCATCCAGCACTGAAACACGATTGACTCTGAGATGAAATTTAGCACAGTAAAATATACTATGTGGTATTTAAAATAGAAGTAAGTAGTGACAGAGGTGAAAGAATCTAAATGTCATAGACATTTTACTTAGCTTAAGTAAGATTGGATTTATGGTTAGTCCTTTCTCCTCAACACCTCCAAGTTCCAAATTGCCATGCAGTGACATCTTTGAAAGAAAGGAAGACACTGGATTGATTCAGTGTCTGACCTGCGTTTCACTAGCAGGTTTAACTATCCCATATGGTATGTCACAGAGTGATACCATAATTTCAGTGTAGGGAAAAGCAGATGGAAGAGAGATACTCCAAAACCTTGTAATTGCAAAGCCAGTGTTTCCAAACTCCACAGCAGTACTTCTGAACTTCCATTTAAAGCAGTAATTAAATTAATATCGGCACTACAATTCTAAGTGGCCCAAAAGGTATTTTTACAAAATCTACAACAAAATAAAATTAAGCAAGTGTGACTTTCCTCAGTACCTTGGAAAAATATGTTGTGAGAGGCTGCGTCTATGCTCTCCATTAAATGCTGTTGAACCTGCAGAGGCAAAGGTGAAATATGAAGGAGTTGTTATCATATTCACTGGCTGGTACCTTGTGTATATCAAAAAGATCATAAAAAAGCTAAAAAATGAAAAGGAAATTAATAGTGGGATTAAAGGAGATAAAACAGATGAAAGAATGGGGGAAAGACATAGTGTTTATAAGAAACTCATCTGAGCAACGCAGAATCAGAGGCAACCAAAATTAGATACCTGTGCTCTGCATAGACTACAGACTTCAGAGAAATAATTGTAGGCACAAATACAATAACTGCAGTAATTTTAATGGTGTTTTACCAGAGATCTGCTTCATGCCAAAACCAGTACATATACTGGCAATAGATATAGAATAGAATGGAAAGTACACTGTTACCATTACATTATATTTTCAGATGAAAATTGCAGACATAGCACAACAGGCACAGGGGTTGTGACAGTGACAAATATTTGACAGTAATATTGTGGCAGGAGACTAAGGAAATAGGATTTGTCTGGATTACCATGGCTCAAGCCTGCAAAGTGCTGCTGGGTGTTCAGCACCTGACAGAATCAATCTTAGGAAATACGAGCAATGGCTATCCATAGGGAGAATTTATATCTGTTATTACATAAAAAGATAAAAGATATGATCTTCCCCTATATTACCTTGCTTCTTCTATATCTTTAGAGCTTCAGACTTACAACATTGTTAGTAAGTGTCCATCATTGACCTCCTAGAGGAGATAAGTCTAAGAGAATTTTATTTTTTTCTGTTCAGTTATGAGTTGAGGCAAAGAAAAGACACGAAGGTCAGTGTTTCCACTTTGGTAATCTTGTTTACCCTCATTTGGAGTTCAGCTGTCAGTCACACCCTTGGGACCAGGAAGGGTCACCAAAAAAGAGAAGTAAAACCTTCAGGGTATTTTTTTACAAATCAGTCTTATTGCCCTGCTCCCATACATACTGTTTCTCCTACCCTTTAAAAAAAAATCACTTTACCATGCAAAAATTATGCTCTAATGCTTCCAAAAGGAGGAGACAACTGGAAGAAATTTGGTGGAGGTACAGAGAGATCAAGTAGCATCGGTCAGAACACCACAGAGCAAGTTGTACAAACAGGGAGAGCGGTGGTGTATTTCATAGTCTGACATATTAGAGCTACTGTTTTTCACATACAACTAGCTTCTGAAATAATTTCTCTTATTTTAGGCAAAATCATGATTTTTAAAGGAGAAAAAATATTGTATTCAAAACCAAGAAATCCATCCAAACTGTAAAAGAAAATACAGGAAGAACTCAACAGGTAGTTTGTAGATCTGGATATAAACTAAACCCAGCAAAATCCCAAATCTTATCAGTCAAACAAGATCCCCTCCACAGGATATTTTTTTTATTAAAAGCTCTGACAAATGTGCCCAAATTGACTTGCTCCTGGTGCCAGTGCAACATGTGATAGTCTATACATCTTGAAAAGGACTGTCTCATACACTCTCGGTTAACAGGGAGTATAGATTACCTGGAAAAGACTTTTAAAGGAAACACATTTTGCCTTGTTTGAAAATTAGGATCTGTAAGATTCTATCATTAATATATATCACATTATTAGTTATAATGTATTCTCAGGCAAAAATGATTGATTCTAGAGCAAATTTGTTTGAAAAGGGATATAGAAGTGTATCTCATGATCAGTTATACCTACTACAACTCTCTAATGATCTGAGCGAAACTTTCCAGCAACTGAAACCCACAACACAGCTGTATTGCATGTGATTGTTTCAGTTATGATAGTATAAAGCAGCTGCTAAAAAAGAATAACTTTTAAGAGTGGCAGCTTTCATATGGGTAGTGCTTTCATTAGAAAGTGTTGACACATAGTGATCACAGTGGCAGAACAAACCACAGTCCTTCTGTTACTCATTTGAATTGTTTCATAACTTTGCAAGGTGTGTCTCTGCAGGATGCTTGTTTATCCATCACCCTCCACAGAAATAAAGTTTAAGATAGAATAGAGTATATACATCTATTTATAAAAGACAGTGAGCAATATACACATGCAATTATATTACTGGGAGGTGATGAATGTCCCTCTTTTCAAGAACAGTTAATAAGCAGCTGTAATTGGCTTTCAAACTGTTTTAAGTAATGATAATACCAAGCTTCCGTGAACAGTAGTAGACCAGGCAGTCCAACAGATTTTTTTGCTGCCCTTGATCATGAAATTTTTTGTCTCATGAATAATGAAAGAGTTCCTGAAAATCATAATTCAATCAGTGATGGAGAAAACATGGAAACATCATGTTTTAGACAATGCTGCACAGTGTTCTGCTTTCATTTAATATTCAGTCCTAGTTCTGGGCTATTAATAGCGTGAGAAGCTATAGTAACGACATAAGCAAGCCAAAACAAAGCATCTCAACCACCACTGCACAATGAAGCACTAGTATTGTATCTGTAACCCACAAAATGAGCCATCAACAGAGAACCTTTAAACTATGGCATGCAAAAAGACCAATAGCTCTATGAACTCTCATTAAAAGTGAATCTGAGGTGAATGTGGTAATATTTTATGTAAAGAACTCAAATAAAAATTTAAGTCAACAACTCCCCTTGAATTTCAAAACACATAAAAGTTCATGTTATAATATAAACAAAAATCACAGTCCAAGCCAGTCAGTTTTAAATATCTTTCCCTCCAAAAATCAAATTAGTGTTCAAGCCAATGATGCCATCAGTTTACAATCTAAATATTTACATTAGTACCTGCCAAAATATAGTGCTAACTATCAAAATAGCTGAAGCCCAGGCAACCAGTTTTATTCTATTCTACCTATCAAACACAAGTGTCTGCAAAGAGAGTTTTATTTGTTCACACATATCAGTTATTTTTGAAGAGCAGTTTAGTCTTTTCTCCCTGCAGGTAATGATAACAACATTCACAGGAACGCAAAACTTCCTGAAGAGCAGCATAGAAATGAATCCAAAGCTTAGTTATTCCTCAGCTGACAAATCTATTAAGAGATAAATAAGTCTAAAATCTTCCAAACCTGGAAAATCCATCTCACAATTAACACAATGTGTGCAAAAAAGTTTCTTATGATCAGCCTGAGAGCTTGTCGATGGTTGGTGGAGGGTGTTCCTTTGGCAGCTTCCTGGGAGAGATCAGCTCTGGCTCTTCGGAGAGGCAGGTTATGAAGTCCCCTGTTTCCTTTTGAAAACAGCCCCGTGCAATCAGCGGCACAGAGACCGAATGAGGTCACGCTTCCTGTAAAGTAGCCTCCCATCAGAAGCATTCGTTTTGAAGATTAAGATTAGCTCAGTGAACGCTCTTACAGGCTCTTGTGAAAGAGGAGATACACTACAAATAACGTTTCACTCCAACGATCATACAGAGAACAAAGACAGAACCTTTTCTCATAAAGAAAAGTGACACGTTTCTGTTTCAAATTTACTTTTCTACCTCACGCAGAAAACTTTCAAGTGGTGTATCCAAATCATTCAATTTGTTGAAATACTTGTCAGCCTGAGAGGCTTTGATGTAAGAAAATGATCCTGCTACCAAAAAAAAAATCCATGTACAATAACGACATTTTGCAAAAGCACTATTGTACAGAAGATGCATTTGCTGGGAGCTCAGAGTTGTTTAAGTTTCATGGTCAAAAACATTATTGCAAATATATATCATGCAATGTTAATATAAATTCCATTCAAAAGAGAAAGGAATAAAGCCACTTGTAAACATATTCATTGTTGTACTCTCTATGTTTCGTACTGTGTAAGGTATCCATCCATCATACCTTGAAGTATACAAAAATAAAGTCAAATCCACATAAGAGAAATGGAGCCTGAATAAGATGTCCCAGCAATCAAAAGGATTTGGCTGCAGAACTATTACACACAAAAGTAATATAAATCAGTTGCTCGACACTGAAGAATTGTACAGCCTTAGGGGGTAAAACTTCATCTCCAAATAGATAAAATATTCTACTAGTTATATCTCTAGATGTATCTATGTATCACTGACAAAGGAAGAAAACATAAATGTAGTAAAATATGATTGATTTGATTTAATGATAGTTTGTGGGGTTTTTTCCCCTTGGAGAAGGCAAAATATTTCTACTGATAAAAGGAATATAAAAATCTCACCTCATAGAAAACAAAACAAAAATAGGAATTAGGCAATTAGGATGTTGCAAAAGACCTTCTGTTTGGGAGTTAAACTAAAATGAACATTTTACGGTCCTTTTGCTTGAACATGAAAACACAGGAACATATTCGATCTTCACATCAGTTCTTTTAATTTAGTGCAATTATGCCCATGAGGAAATTTAGTCCAACACTATTTCCATGGATGCATCACAGCAGCATTTCCCTGGCCACCCTGTCTCTCTACAGGCAATGCATATAAATTCCCAATGATCTTTAAAACTAGGTCACCTACAGAAGAATTTTTTTTTGCACACACTAATTTACTCCTTGGGCGTATTTTTGGTTTCTTTTCATATTCTTCTCAACAGAAAGCAGTTAATTCCAAGCTTGGACTGCTTTTTGGAAGGACTGCTTTTTTGAATGTCCTGTTTGTCTATATAGTTAAAATATATTGTGTCTACATCATGTTTAGACTTGGAGGTGTTTTCTTTTTTAATAACTACTATTTGTATCTGAAACTCACTGTTCCACAAGCTTTTGATGCATAAACTTTGTGCATTGCTGAATATTTTATAGGTGAGCGCTTGATTATAGTTAGTACACACACAAGGGTATATATACAGCTTTTTCTCTTCCCCACCCAGTTGGTCCTCAAATTTCCCACCTCACCCCAAGCCCTGTCTCAATCGCCAGGTTTCAGATTCTACAAAATGAGTAGAGCAACAAGATTACTTGCTGTGCAGTAGTTTTGTGCAACCCACAAAGGGAAGGAAATGAAAAATTACAATACTAGACACCACCCATCTTTCTACTCTTCTCCCAGGCTTACTCTACTTTTGATGCACCATATTGTGCTGGGTCTGACAGTCCAAGAGGGGAGAGGCTGGGGCAGCAACGTGCTCCTTGGGAAAGGCCCAACAGGGAGTCCCTTCCTCTCTAGTCCTTAATTCAGGTTCCCACCTGACTTTGTGCCCCTGGATTCCTCTAGGCTGATGGCTGCTGGAATGGGAACAGCTGGGGCAGGGCATTCTTTGGGCTCCCCCTCACACTGTTGTCTCTCTGAGCTACTCTGTGGGTGTGCAGATGAGCTTTTAGCACATATTACACCATAACTCTGCCATCTCAGCAACCCACTGCAACTCAATGAAGTGCACTATTAAGCTAAACACACAATTTTCAGGAAGGGTATTTTCCTGGTAGAGTTAATTGAGTGGCTGTGGTGGAGGGAGTAGAGTGCTTATTGATTGAATGCAACTGAAAGTAATGTGATGCTTCTGTAGCTCTCTTTGAACCTCCTGGAAACCTCACAGCCTTTAGCTTTTCCACCAGCTTCAGTGATCAAATCAGGCCATTTGTCCTATATCACAGAGCTATGCCAATACTTTTATATAGTATTCAACAAATAAAAAATATTCTGAGATATCTGAAATTTAATTGAAAAAGTAAAAAAAAATCCCCAAAAACGGCAGGGGAAGGGCTGACCATGAGAACCTCGGAGCAGCAACACTGGGTCAAAATGAAGGTCTATGAAACTGTCCTTGCCTGTAGTCTTGCTGCATGGAAAATTAAGACCCATTTCCATACACTTTCATGAATGATAACATTTTAGGCTAAGTACATTCCTTTATGCGGCATTCCTTTAAACTTAGCAATGTTTGAGGTACCCTGGTAATTAAAAAAAAACAACAAAACTCACAAACCTAGACATTTAATTTCAATTTTAAGAGAAGGCTGATCCTGCATTAAGTTGGCATTACACTGTAAGTTGACTGCATCAATTTACATTCGATACCGTACTGATGGAAGCCTATTCAATCCAAGGCGACTGAAGGCCCACACCAAGACCTTAAACCATCTTGTCCGGGAGCTGCTTTATGCTGATGACGCCGCCCTTGTTGCCCACACAGAAGCAGCTCTGCAGCGTTTAACATCCTGCTTTGCAGACGCTGCTGAGCTCTTTGGGCTGGAAGTCAGCTTAAAGAAGACAGAGGTTCTCCATCAACCTGCACCTCAGGAAGTCCCCCATCATCCCCACATCACCATTGGCCAATCAGAACTCAAATCAGTCCAACAGTTTAATTACCTAGGCAGCCTCATCTCCTCGGATGGGAAGATTGAAGGAGAGATAGACAACAGGTTAGCAAAGGCATATAGTGCTTTTGGAAAACTCCACAAAAGAGTATGGCATAATAAACACTTGAAGAAAAGTACCAAGATCAGTGTTTACAGAGCCATAGTGCTGTCTACTCTCTTGTATGGTTCCAAATCATGGGTCATCTACCGCCACCACCTGCGTCTCTTAGAACGCTTCCATCAACGCTGCCTCCGTTCAATCTTAAACATCCACTGGTCAGATTATGTGACCAACACATCTGTTCTAGAGCAAGCAGCAGTCACAAGTATAAAAGCCATGTTGATGAGAACACAGCTGTGATGGGCAGGGCACGTCTCCAGGATGAAGGACCACCGCCTCCCTAAGATCTTGCTTTACGGTGAACTTGCCACTGGCTGCCGCAAGAGAGGAGCCCCGAAGAAAAGATACAAGGACTCCCTGAAACAACATCTCAGCCTTGGCCATATTGATCACCATAACTGGTCTACTCTGGCCTCAAATCGGGAAGCCTGGAGACACACCATCTATAACGCAGCTGTCTCCTTTGAGAACACACGCAGGATCACTCTCGAGGAGAAAAGGCAACGCAGAAAGAACCGTGTTCTGCAGAATATACCATCTAAAGAGTCTTTCTACTGTGCCTTTTGCAATCAGATATGTCTGTCTCGTATTGGCCTCATAAGCCACCAACGTGCCTGTAACAAATGTGGATAGAGCCTTCCCAAATCTTCGTTCGCGAAGCCCAGCCATGATGACACTGTAAGTTACAGAACTGACACATCATATATGATTTTAATAACCTTATCAGGTCAGCTGTATGAACAAAGATTAATTTGCTTTAATGAGGAACAAAGTAATTTTTAATGTCATCGGATGGCAACCCCATCATACTCTATCAGAGACTTTCTTATAATCAGGCTTGATTTCTTTTCCCCCCAAAATTAATTAATTTAGCTTAATTATTCCTGCAAAACAGGCAACAAAGGGCATTTTTTTTGTTTGCATGGTGGAGTACAATGCATAGACCTGTAAAACTTGGAATTAGCTCTGAGTGTGCTGATACGTCCATGCTGCTTGGATCTCAACAAGAGCTTACCTGCAATAATGCTGTGTCAGCTACCTCTGTAGTATACTGTGCACACAGATAGACAAAAAGTGTTTAGAAAAGATCTAAATCAAGTGAACCTGCAATGTACAATGATATTTCTCTGTACAAAGCCATGACCAGTCTGTGTTGTATCTCATTGCTCTTTGATTATATGGTAGCAGAGGGAAATTTCCTCGGTATTTAACTTGTTGTAGACATGGCAAAATGCCACATCATGAGCAGTGTAATAGTAGATACGGGGAAAATAAAAGAAGTGCTTCCATTAGAGTCTGCAACTCCCTGACCTTGCATCTGAAAATACTACTTTAAAACTTTTATCAGAGAAAGAAAATAAAAGGAAGAGGCTCAAATCTATCAGCCAAAGCAGAATTTAGGCAAGGTTTCTAAAAGAACTCAGGTGGGTCCTCATTAGAGTTCTTCATAAATTTCCTCACAAGGAGAACTGACTTTACTGAACAAGAAGGTAGGAACACTAAGAAAACACTAAGAAAAGCAACAAATCTGTACTAAAAGCTGTCTGACTTATTTTTATTAAGGATGAAAAAAGTTCATGAATCAGCACACTGCACTGTCTGCAGTGACTAGAAGCAGTCAGGACAGAGTCAGCTCCTGGCCAATCGTTCTCCAGCAGCACCTTATTTGCAGAGAATAGAAACATTAATGCACCGATCGCTGGTCTGAGTAGAGAATGAGTGGGAAGAGGTTTGATGTGGCAGGTGTGAATGGTGTTTGGCTTGTTTCTAAGCTAGCAGGTCATCAAGCTTCCAGCACAAATCTACATGACACATTTTAGGACACCCAGAC